CTGCCTCAGCCTCCCGAGTAGCTGGGACTACAGGCATGCACCACCATGCGCGGCTAATTTTTTCTATATATTTTCAATTGTCCGGCTAATTTCTTTCTATTTTTAGTAGAGACGGGGTCTCGCTCTTGCTCAAGCTGGTCTTGAACTCCCGGAGCTCAAATGATCCTCCCTCCTCGGCCTCCCAGAGTGCTAAGATTACAGGCGTGAGCCACCATGCCCTGCTCATTTTTTCTATACGTTTTTAGTTGTTTGGCTAATTTCTTTCTACTTTTAGTAGAGATGGGGGTCTCGCTACGTTGCCCAGGCTGGTCTCGAACTCCTGACCTCGAGCGATCCTCCCACCTCGGCCTCCCAGAGTGCTGGGATTCATCCCTCCCCCTTTTGACGGTGACATCCGAGTGTCAGAAGATAGTCCCAGCTCCCGTGCTAGCTGTCTGGTTAGGGGAACGATGGCGGTTCCAGTTCTGCCCTCATCCCCAGCTACTCCGGCAGTGCTGTAAGTTAAGTGAAGTGTTTAGCACAACCGTGGCGCTGAAGCCGTTAAAATCCCATCGCCCCCAGCTCACACTGGCAGAGACCGAGACTCAGACGTGGAGGAAGCGCGTGGTGCCATCTGTGGCGGTGCCATTTGCTGCTGCGCGTCCACGCCGTCCTCCAGCTCCCCCGGCAGGTCGGTCTGGCTCGGGTTACGCAGCTAGTAGTGGTGGAGTGAGGATTCAAACCCGGCTCCGCCCGACTCGCTTTGCCCTCAGTAGCAAGGAGGGTCTGAGCTGGCTCGGGGGGGGGGGGGTGCCCAAGCATCGTCTGGGGCTCAGCGTGGCGGCGGTGGCCGAAGGGGAGCGGGGCGGGGTGCAGCCCAGTGGCTTTCCCGCAGCGACTCGAGCTGGGCCCGTGAAACGGAGACTTTTCCAAAACCTCCGCAGACCCCTAAGGCGGGAGAGGATCGTATTCGGCGCTCGCTGCGCGTCAGACAGGACGCAAAGCATCGCGCATGGCTTACCGCATTTCATCTCCGCACAGCCCCCACTCACAGATGACAAAAAGAGTGGCGATCGCTCGGGGCTGCGTCGCTGGATTGCAGCTCGGGTCCGTCTGACTGCAAAGCCCGAGCTGCCCCGGTCTGCTTTGTGTGTGGACGCCCACGGGATGGGGCGTCTCCTCCACAGTTAGCGCTTCCCGTGGATTTTAAAGTCAAAACCTCTTCTGCCTGAAACTTCACTAGCCTAGCATAGTTCATCTTTTCTTTCTTTTTTTGAGACAGAGTCTGGAACTCCTGACCTTGAGCCATCCTCCCGCCCCAGCCTCCCGGAGTGCTAGGATTACAGGCGTGGGCCACCGCGCCCGGCCCACCTAGCATAGTTTTAAAAATACTTGGGGAAGCACTTTGAGTGGCAGTCGATGCACGCGAAGGCCTTGGCAGCCGTCACTTGTGTCCCTACGGTAAGAAAAGGCTGGGCTGAGTGGAAATGAGGGTCTTTTCTTGGGCCCGTCGGAGAACTGAGTTTGCACAACAAACTTCCATCCCGAAATCTGGAGAGAGGCAGTGGACCCAGACGGTCACAGGCCCGCAGCTGGTAGGGACACTTCAGCGGTAGCTTTGATGACCCGCTGGAGGCCGAGTGTGGACAAGCATAGGAGTTAGAACTCCCTCTGCAACACGCACGCTTCCCTGGGTTTTAACCCACTTGGTTCCCCGGGGCGAAGGGCTTTGTATACGCGGGGTCCCGCTGTGTTGCCCAGTCTGGTCTGGCCTCGAGCACGCCCGCCTCGCCCTCCCCAAGTGCTGCGATTCCAGGCACGAAACCACCTGGTTTAAACAGAAACCCTGAAAGAAGGTGGAGGAAAAAACCCATCCGACCTATGGAGAAAGAAAGACAAGAGTTCGAGTGGACGCTGTTAGAAACCACGCAAGCAAAGAACGGAGTGAGATATTTAAAATGTTGAAAGAAAAACCCCAGCGACCTAGAATTCTGTAGCAGGCAAAATTATCGTTGAAAAGAGAGGAGAAATAAAACGTTCTCAGGAGTTCTTCAAACATGCGTCTCGTCCACAGTTTGCTTATTAAGTGGCTGAACGAGGAAGCGGTAGATCCCAAACCATCTTTTTCCCTCTGGAAATCAGTTCGTTCGAAAATCATCGTCAGAATTGGGGAGGGCGGGGGAAAAAAACGGTCAACGTTAGAAATTGCGGCGTT